ACTAATCGCGCAGCCAAAATTTATAGCGTGCATGCATGCGCGAAGAACACGGAATTACTAGGACTTAGAGTGAGGATTAGAGAGGGAACGCCTGCATTCTGCATGATCGGCCGCGCCGTGGGGGACATAACCCTTCTCCACGCATCGATCCAAGCATGCAAGCCGCGGCTTACAAAGTTTCAGCAAAAGAACAAGAGGGAGGGCGGGAGAGACGAAGTGCAAGAAGAGAGATACAGTTACAATGGCGCCCGCCCAAAATTACAGTTACACATACAATTAAGGGCACCCACTAATCAGAGTGTCGTTGCAGCCGCATGAAGAAGCGCGTAAACAAAAGGCGCCCCGCGGCAAGAAAAATCCTAATTACCAAATTCCTAAATTCCTATCTGTTGCGAAAAAGCAAAAAAGAAGTGCAAGTTCCAGAAGGAAAGTCCGAAATTCTGAGAGCCATCGGGGGCTCGACAAAATTCGAAAAAGATTTAAAAGGAAATTCAAAAAGAACGAAGCAATTTTCCGCGCGACTTCCACGCCCGAAAAGATCGAAACCGAACCGAAAGAAACGACGTCAACATTTATTAATTGCGCGCGCGCGTGGCTTTCCACCAGACAACCATCCGACCAATCAATCAACTGGCCGTCCCAAGACACACCTGACCCCGTGCCCGACCATTCGGAAAAGAAACGACGAAAAAGGACGAAAAAACAAGGACACTGATGCAATTCTCCACCGATCCCGGTCTCCCGTAATTGGCCCAATCTTCCCAGCTTAGGACCCCTCATTGCAACCGCGCAGAAAATCGCGCGTTACAGAAAGTAGTTCGTCACAGTCCATCCAAAGATGATCCAAAGATGGAGCAAACTCTGGGGGAAACGAAGGATGGGGATAAAGGAGAGGAAAAGGATAAAGGGAAAGAAGGAGAAAACGATAGTACTGCCAACGAACGAGGGGACGGGGGGGAGGAGGGATCACGGGGAGAAGGAGAACTTCTTCAAAGGGAAAAAGCAGGTGAAGAATCGTCTTCCCCGAAAAAAACGGAACCATACAGTACGAGGCCGCCCGACGTTTTGACGCGACGGCAGGCTTCTTGGCGAATGTTGGAAACGAAGAGCGGTTGGGGCTCCATGACGGCAGCTTCGACGTGAGGACGAGAGTGCGGGGTGAGAGGTCAGCAGGCGTATGATGAGGCGGGAGAGGGATCATGGGGCATGGAGGAGCAGTGTGGCATTCTGAGCCACACGGGCCCCAGTTAGGGCCCGGTTCCAGGTAGGCATCATCCCAGATGAGGCCCAGGTAGGCCAGGAGTACGACGGCTCAGGCAGGCCAGGGGTAGGGGCCCAGGCCAACGGTCAGAAGGCCGTTACCGGTCCAGCATAGGGACCTATCGGCGACGCAGTTTCAAAGGCTGTCGTGTTTAGGCGCCAAGTCCAGTTTTGAATCTGGACCGTTGATAAGATCAACGGTCCAGGCCGGTAGGTACCGATAGGTAGGAGGCCGGCCCAACACTGCAAAGGCTGGGTACCAGCCTCAGTCGATAGGTTAGAGTAGACATGAGGTTAGTCTTCGGGATTAGCACAACATTTCGGCGTTAGCAGGATTAGCGCAGCGCTGCAGCATTACGAGGAGCAGCGAGGAGAGAAGGAGCTCCGCGGCAGAGAGGAAGTAGCGCAGCATTGGAAGCAGCGCCAGCCACCGGCCCGGCCTGCAGCCCAGCGCCAGCCCGTTCAGCGCCATAGCTACCGTGACAGGTACCAGGGAGAAGGGCTTTGCCTTCTTTCCCTCATCTTCCTCCACC